ANACATACACACACATATATATATATATATAATAATATATATACACACACACACACACACACACATATATATATATATATATATATATATATGCCAACGATTTTTCGCACGGATGGATAGACTTACAATATTTATTTGCAGAAATACATATCGTAGGCAAAAAATAGACATAAACGTATAGTTTTGGACATACCAATGAGGACCAAGTAAGAAATCATATGTTCTTGTACATTAAGAGGGGTGTATAGATTGAATTGTGTAGATGATACAAATACATTTCTAAAATGTACATACCTTATATATATGGATGTCTATTTATAAACACACTTAACACTTTAATTGGTGTACAACACAAGTCTTCCTCCGGACAACCGATACCGATCATACTTTACGATCGCAGCAGCTCTTGATGCATTGTATAATTTGACTTCATAATTTATAATATTGTATGTGTACATCTAATCATGATATGTCGAGCTTCGTGATGGTAACTACTTATATGACTGATGCATATCATTAGATAGATTTGTATATATTCAATACGCTATACATACACATCCAAAGGAGAGACGTACAAGAGAAACTGTAATGGAAACTGTGTATATAGCCTTTTACACGCAGACACCCATATACCGAACTAAAGAAGTATACAAGTAGACATACGAAATCACATATCCAAACACACATAACCAACCCACCTGCAGCTTTTCCGCCTTGCTCAAAGTGATGTAACTCTTCATTTGCAGCCGTAGTACATCCGGTCCCAGTTTGGGCAACTGCTTGACGTGTTCGCCCACCAGCCACGTGACACTCGCACGTGCTGTGGGCACAGTGATCTGCCCTTTCATCAGCAGCTTGGCTAAGGACCGGATGACTCGGGTGACCGAGTCCCTGTACTCCGCTTGCTCTTCCTGTCGCACACAGATCAGAGTATCAGGAGATTAGCGCGGTTGACCATCAAGAGTGAGATGTGAAGCACGTGAAGTGAACTAGTGAAGGTAGACGATTTCATATGATGGCAACAAAGCCACAAGCGTACCAACACACACACACACACAAGTGAGCAAACATACATCCACGTAGAGCGGATTCATAACAAAATGGCAGTCACAAAATGGCAGTCAGTACCTTGCACTGCGTTACTTTCCAAAGAAGTTCTGTACTACTTAGTCAAAATTTTACTATCTACTACAACAAACAGTTGTCTGGGCTGCATGCGTTCAATCACAGTGGCAGGTATAGATATGTGTCATAATGACAACATAGGAGAAGTTCTGTACTCCTTAGTCAAACAACAAACAGTTTGTATGGGCTGCATGCGTTCAATCACAGTGGCAGGTATAGAGATGTGTCATAATGACAACATAGATGAAGTTCTGTACTACTTGGTCAAAAAAATTCTATCTACTACAACAAACAGTTGTATGGGCTGCATGTGTTCAACCATAGTGGCAGGTATAGAGATGTGTCATAATGACAACATAGAAGAAGTTATGTACTACTTAGTCAAATATCTACTACAACAAGCAGTTGTACGGCTGCTTTCGAACACAGTGGCAGGTATAGAGATGTACCATGGTGACAACGTACCTCTCAATGCTCGCACCGTACTAGCATAGCTAGTGATTCAGGTGGATGAAACTCAAAAACCACTACTTCCAATACACACAACACTATCCCCTGTAAGCCGTGAAGCCTCATATTTAGACCAGACGTCGGTAGCAATGCATATATCAATAGCGATCAACCCACGACAATTCCAAAGCGTTGGGTGGTAGACAGAGACCTCTTGCACTTGGCACATATGGGAAGCTACCAACCACTAGACGATACGAGTGACATTGACCTCGCTCCACAGATAAGGAGAAGTACAGACCACAACAACAACTAATCCAAGTAAATAGCATCCACACCATCCCATAGACACACGCTACACCATACACTACACCAGACGTGGCTCTTACGTCTATCCTTTGCTGATTCCTGCTGTTATCGTCGTCACTGTCACTGTCACTGTCGCTCGAGTGATGCGCCGAGGGCCGTGTCGCAGTGGTGGACGGCGGTGGTTGTTGCAACAGACGCTGAATAACCACTATACTCTGACCAGCAATAGTCTCTGCACAAGTCAAGTCAATAGTATAGTGAGCCTATGAGTTATATACTACTATACTCTATACTCTGACCACCAATGGTCTCTACACATGTCAAGTCAATCGTATAGTGAGCCTATGAGTTATATCCTACTATACTCTATACCCTGACCAGCAATAGTCTCTGCACAAGTCAAGTCAATCGTATAGTGAGCCTATGGGTTACGTACTACTATACCTGACCAGCAATGGTCTCTGCGCAAATCAAGTCAATTTATTGTGAGCCGATGAGTCATCGCCAACCTCTGTCACAGCTAAGCGGCGCCACGGGATGAGTGGTGGTCGCTGGAGACCAAAGCATGCATTCGCATTGCACACATTCAGTGTGTGTGCAATATAATGTAGGCATGTCGTTGCGAGATTATACTCCAACTCAGTCTACAGCCGCACTCCACTTAAGTACAGCCCATATGCACATAGCTCGCATTTACACATTGAGATTGGGCTATCTCTATGGCTCTCGTGTAGCAGAGGGTCAACAGATACTCGACCAACAAGTGCACGAACAAGGTAAGTGAAAACACAGTGTACACAACACTCAGGCGACAACTGCGTGGCCCAACTACAATACATATGATACCACAGAGATTAAGTGTATGTGAATAGATACTTATATACCGTAAGGTACATGACTGGCTAGGGTAATGGGGTCTCACACCACACACGCAAATAAACAACATCACGGATCCGTTAAAAGCAAAGCGCACAAATATACGCCGGTTGTGCTTACAGTCAATCGTAAGAAGTGTATCTGTATCTGTTATCTGTTATCTGTGCGTTACACAGCTCTCCCAACATACCATCGCCAGCGGATAAGAAGGGGGTGAGTGTGTGTATGCAGTTGGGTGTCACAGACGGCAATCTCTGCGCACACAACCCAACGCCATCAATGGCAGCCAAGGCCACCTCAGTCTTCACACTACGGATGTAGGACTGCATGTAACATGTTGGGAGGAGTAGAGATGATACGAGCGCACTTAGTTTCAAAACAGGTCTAAAAGGACTGTCGGTACAGTGTATATGACATACATTACAGATGAGCTTGATTGGAATTCGCCAACTACGTTACAAGAGTGTGTGTGTGCAAGTGCATCGCTGTACTATGGCGTGCCATGTGTGCTGTCTACAACACAGTTACGCGAGCAATGCACACAGGAGAGTGTGTGGCATGGCTGCAGCAGTCATAGAGAGATACACACCCTACGACGTAAGGAATAGGGAATCTCAACAGCACTACGCAGTGTATACAATGGATCAGTAGGTAAGTAGGTAAGTAGGTAGCAGCAGATTCGTGCCACCAACGACTGGCATGACAAGTCAGAGTTTGGCAGTAAAGTACAGAGCATCTATCAACCACATTAACAGGTATATACTACGAAAGGGAAAAAAAATGACAAAAAAATGAGAAGAAATCAAAATTTAGGACGATCTACTCGAAGTTGTAACCCGCTTGAAGGAACGTAATATGGCCGATATACTTATAGAAATCAAGCGAAAACAGACCTCTAGAACAGTTGATATTATAGATAAGATAACCCAATGGCGAATGTCAGCAACTGATGAGCCCCTAATGACTGGCTGTGTATGAGCTTTCACGGAACGATTGGCAACTCAACGACAAGTAATCGGAAACTGAGTCTTAATGGGAATAATAAAACATGCAGCGAATAAAACGATACACTGTAAATGCACAATGCACGACTGGACGACATATTTGTAATCCGCCAACACTGTACACTGACCTGCGAAACAGAGCACAGGTAGTGCGAAGCACAAAGGGTAGCCATGCAAGGTATTGCAGTAGAGCAATTAGAGTATGTGTATCTGCCTTAATACATAATTATATATAAGTGTATATTTTGCAATGATATATCACATAACTATATACAAATATACACACACACACACACACACACACACACACACACACACATATATATATATATATATTTAAACTCCTGACATACAATCTAGCGGTAGAGTCATTGACTGAAAGATACAAGCAGTTGAGATATGGCCCAATCAATCGACACTGACTTTGAAAAGATCAGACCATGCGCTAACCCAAATCACTCAGGAGAATGAACTTTGGTTTCGGGTGCTAGATTGTCCCATCATCGTAACCATGGTTACACGCACACCAGAAAGGTTCCAATACAAATCTTCACAACGCACACACTGAACTAGACTCAAATAGACACACTCAACCACACTCAACCCACGCTTACCCCGAATTCGCTCAAGAGTATAGAGATGTTTGTTTCCGAGGCGAGATTGACCATCACCGTGATTTTGGCCAGACTCACAGACACCGGGTCATCGCGCACAAAGAAGCTCTTGAGATAAGGACTGAACATCTGCGGCCGTGTGGCGCTCATAGTCACAATGGACGAGAGTACTGTGGCGGCTATCTCCCGCTGTAGCCCTACTAACCGCACCATGGCCTGTCCTACAAAGGCTGTCTCCAGGCGAGGGGCAAGGTAGTAGTACAGCTGAGCAACAGCAAACACCACCTGCAAGGAGCAAATGGAATGGGTGTGTCAGGGAGTATATGTTACACTTCGAATGGATCGTATGACAGGGCTCACTTCAGATGAATCGTATGACATGCGTATGTTTCGTTGACCAAAATATGATCTCAACCTACCAATACACATATATAGTGACAATCATGGCTTGGGATAGTCTCCATTCGGGAGACGAAATAGCAGTAACCTTGGACGACAGAAACCACCGTGGATAGTAGGAGTATAGAGTCACAGTATGATACACTCCGAGTGGGGCCATGCTTAAAAGGTGCATGCATGAGAACTTACAAGTGTTGGTATTCCAATATTGTAAGTCTGCCAATACAGGTCAACGGGGCTCAAACTAGCGATAGTGCATACACATGCATGTAAGTGTACAAGTACCTACACACGGTGCACTATACACATTGCAGAGTCACCCGCATGTGAGATATTGCGGACTTGTACTCAGCTATACAAAGGACTATTCGTGTATAACTTAATAGGCCACCAAGTCACAGGCAGTCTAGGAATATCATCAGCTAAGGACTACTCATGTATAACTATAGGCCACCAAGTCACAAGCCGTCTAGGAATATCATCAGCTAAGGACTGCTCATGTATAACTATAGGCCACCAAGTCACAGGCCGTCTAGGAATATCATCAGCTAAGGACTACTCATGTATAACTATAGGCCACCAAGTCACAGGCCGTCTAGGAATATCATCAGCTAAGGACTACTCATGTTTAACTATAGGCCACCAAGTCACAGGTCGCCTAGGAATATCATCAGCTAAGGACTATTCATGTATAACGATAGGCCACCAAGTCACAGGCCGTCTAGGAATAACACGAGACGCACATACGTTCGTTTTCTAGATTTCGTCGGAAGGTGTATGTTTCGAAGTTCCTCTACTGTTGTGCATATGCACAGGCACACCAAAGCTTGAAGGCATACACATGCACCTACAGCTTATGATGAATCGTTTTACAATACATAACGACATACTATTACCGCACTTACTCCCATATTTTAGGGTAGTCCTGGCCCACCATCAAAGGTAGAATACCATCAACAGTAGAATATCTGACACACAGGCCATAATACAGCTAATTAATAAGACTTGTGTTGTAAAGATCACATCACAGTCAAAAACGGGCTTTAGTTTGAAAGGCACATCACACTTGGGCGGAAAAATGCATCACCCTCCCACACCTAATCCCATCTCAAGACACTGTGGCACTCGGAAGCGCAACACGTCATTATACACTGTTCAACACTCGACAGAGGATCATGTACGCACACATACCCCGCTGTTCCGACTGAGCAACAGCGGTTTGACTGAGTTGAGAAGCAGTCGATGGTCTGCGTCCATCTGCACAGGCATGGCCTGTTCTCGAGTGCGTCGCCAAACCCAAAGGGAAACCGAAGGGTGAGATGATGACTTGTGAATGAGATGCTCGCGACCAAATCATAAAACAGCCTTCTGACCGGTAAAGGAGACGAATGCTTGTGTCGCACGACACAGGACAAATATAAAACTCGAAGAAGATGACCGCATACACTAATCTAAAGTGATATATTGAAGTAAAAAATTCGAAGAAGATGACCGCATACACTAATCTAAAGTGATATATTGAAGTAGCCGGTTGCACAGACGCGTATACGAATACACATATCTGCACGACGAAGTAGCTACGCTCACCTGCTCAACCTCACTGTCGCTGTTGCTTTCGCGGTTGCTTTCGCTGTCACTTCCAGCACCCGAGTCATCACTGTCTGAATAAAAGGGCTTGTTCTCATCCACCACTTGCACATCGTCACCCTGAACACACAATTATACATTGCAAGGAGGTGAGCTCACAGTTATTCATTGGACGTATGTGCAATGATTGTACCGTCCTGTGGATGCAGTTAACGGGAGACTAAGCTACGCCGCTACGGCTCCAGGTCACAGCTACAACCTAAACTTCACAGGACACGGGCCAACGTCTGTATATTGTGAGCGTAAAGAAGGGACAATAGCCCAGCTGTAACCAAAAAGACATTTAACAGCAACGTTTAAATGCCTTACACAGGCAGCAACGGTGCTTTCCAAAAGTGCAAGCTGAACGATACTACATCTACAAGACATCCCACCACACCAACACAATACACTGGCACATAACACCAGACTCATATGTATCACAAGTAACAAGTACATCACATGACATACTAAACCAACACGCACCCAAACAAACATGACAGTTAACATGGCAGTTAACATGGCAGTTAACATGACAGTTAACATGGCAGTTAACATGGCAGTTAACATGACAGTTAACATGGCAGTATACATGGCAGTTAACATGGCAGTTAACATGGCAGTTAACAAGACAGTTAACATGACAGTTAACATGGCGGTTGACATGGCAGTTAACAAGACAGTTAACATGGCAGTTAACATGACAGTTAACATGGCAGTC